ATATATACACATATACATATATATATACACATATACATATATATATATACACATATACATATATATATATACACATATACATACACATATATATACACATATACATACACATATACATATATATATACACATATACATACACATATACATATATATATACACATATACATATATATATACACATATACATATATATACACATATACATATATATATATACACATATACATATATACACACACTGTATCATACATTTTACAGCCACATAGTTTAGCAGCAATAAACATATTAGCTGTTACAAGCTAATAATTAGTCATATTAGTTGTAACAGATGTGGCTTGGTGCAAAATTATTGCCAGTTGTTCAGTGTTATTTATCACGAGTTTAGTAATCTGACAGCTTGTAGATAACTGTCTTTGAGTCTTTTTGTGCGCGATGGCAAATTCCTGTATTGTCTGCTTGAGGTAGAAGAGTCCTCGTGCTGGGTGGGTGTGGTCCTTAATGATGCTGTGTGCTTTATGCAGACATCGGCTGTGGTAGATGTTCTGGATGGTGTGGAGACTTCTACCAATGATGTCCTCTGCTGTTTGCACCACCCTCTGTAGTGATTTGGGTTCTATATACCAATATATCACACCAGTGTCTTTAAATGAATGAAAACAACAAAAGCAAGATTATAATGTCAAGTAGTGTTTTACTTTTTGTACATACATTTTGCTCTTCTATCCATGAGAGAAACACATTTCTCAATGACTGTGGTTGAAGTCCAGGATGGTTTTGACAAGATTCTTCTCCATAGAGAGCATGACCAATGCACTGAGACAATCCTGTGACAGTTGTTTAATTTATCTTGTTCCATTTCATATATCTGTCTGTTACACAAGTGCTAGATTGGAAATAATCACCGCCAGTGTGTAGAGATGTAGGGGTTGTGGACTTTATTCTGTAACCACAGTGAATAAAGCACATTGTTGATGATGTCGTTAACATTTTCCACAATGCTTGAGTTCCTTTGTACACAAAGTATCAAATCTCCTTTTAACTTTCTAAATACAACAAAAATAATAGCAATATCCAGGTTATTTGGATTTCATCCCATCACCAGTGATCTTTAATATAATCACTCTTTCATAACATGAAGCTTTCACGTTACCATTTTCACAATACTATGTATTGCTTAACATGCTTTGTAAATCCTTCTACTGGTTGGTTACTTTATAGCTTCTCTGAAACAACAACACAACTTGTATATATAACTGAAACTGATGGGGTAGAACCGAGCCACAGTTTATTCATTATTCGTTCATATTTATTCATCATTAATTATGACACCATTAAAAAACTCCCGTTTAAAAACAAAATGAGAAAAGTTAACAACAGACACTTTACTTAAGAGTAAAAAATAACTTCATGAGCTGAGGAAGGAGAGGACTTGTCTTCAGATGTTCAGGTTTATAACTGGCAACTTGCATAATATCATGTACACAACACAGTTCACACAAGCACAGCTCTCATTCACTTTACTGGCAAGCTACCGCTCCGTGTTGCTTATGGCAGATAAGCATCTCAGACGCAGCAGTACCCACCTGTTTTATTCAACACACACACACACACACACACACACACACACACACACACACACACACACACACACACACACACACACACACACACACACACACACACACACACACACACACACACACACACACACACACACACACACACAAATCACAGATTGGTTCACTTTGCTCACGTCTGCACACTTTATTAACTCAGTCCTTTCCTGTGTAACAGTAAATAAGGCAAGCAAGCACATAATGATTACTGCTGTTAGAATTTTCCACATCGCTTGAATTGGGGGTGCCCACCGGCATAAACAAACAGACCCGAATGCAAAGAATTTACCATAGCTGCCTGATCTAAATGAAAGCTGCGCCTCTTTTAAATGAGCTGACGGCTACGTGTAAATAATATTTCAATAAGGCACATTAATAACTGCCATTAGAATTTTCCACGTCGCCTCTAGTTCACAACCAGCACCAAATTTAGCGGGTCGTGGTCAACCAAGTATCTTCCTTATCAAAATTAATGCGGCACCCCTTTAAATACACTTTAAACACACACACAATGCACTGCTGACAGCTAAATAATATTTCATACATAGTCTGGTAACGGTTGTGACTT